CAGATCCTTTCGTCAAAATAAGATCTCAAGCTCTGTCACATGCTATTGAACTGAAATCTTGTGCATATATTCAGCGAGCTCAGCTACATCTACAAGAGCATCTAGCTAGATTCAGACACATTAGAATACCGGTTCCTTGATTATGAAGAAGACATGTGGCAATATCGCTGGTGAGAGAGTTATTGTTGGGTTTTTTTCATGGTTTTTAAAACTAAGTATTACGTAGATTGCATCTTTCTCTTCGGATCTAATATACAGCGACATCGATGCCTTGTAAATATGAAAGTTATGCAATAAAAGAAAATTCAAAGATTTAACGAAAACTACGGTTTTCTGAGGTTGGGAGACCTTCACCCATTCGTGACGACACGAATCTTGCTTTTTCATAATTTGCCAAAGGTTTTATTTCTTTTTTTGTAGCAACTGTATTACTTCGAAACAATTTTTATCAACGTTTCTCTTATCAATATGAGCCATAAACATTCCTTTATTAGCGGTAAAAGAATCAGCCCCTTTGATTAAAATATAGCAGAGATATTCAACTTTTCTGCGATAAGTGAGCTTTTGAGATACCCTATAGTGGGGCCCACCCAAGGGGGAAAAAGCAAGACTTCTTACTTCACGGTACTTCACTCATACTTTACTGTACTTCACTCGTAGTTCAAAATTGTGCTTGAAGTACCGTGAAATTCGAGTGAAGTAAAAGTGAAGCACAAATGAAATGGAGTGAAACAAAATGAAGTATGAGTGAAGTACAAGTAGAAACCCAAGTGAAATACAGGGAAGTCGAGTGAGTACGGAGGAAGTACAAGTGAAGTACGGTGAAGTCTTGCTTTTTCCCCCTTGGGCCCACCGGTGGGCCCCATCGCCTCGAAAGGGTTAATCCCTTGAATTCTGCGCTACTTGCTATCGAATAAGGCTAGAATGAAATCTTTGAACAACATTTTCAGTCCTCAAGAAGAAGACGATAGCAGTGACCTATTCATTTATGCCAATCTTCTTTGTTGTGATATTGTGAGAAAAAGTAAATACTCCTAATTTTATCGAAAAACACTGAGCAAATATTACTTTATTTTCTTTATAATGATCACCAGCCATTGGCTTGAGCATGATGCGCTTATCATCATCAGATGCGAATATACTATAGAATGGATGCATAAATGAGAAGATCATTCCATCAGCATCAATGACACCAATGTAGTCACTGTTCGATAACTGATCCATATAGAATGTAGACCATTGTTGCCGATCGTATCCTTGGAGATTGATTCTTTTGGCAAATATCGGAAGTGCTTCATATTTAACGGAGAAATTATGTCTTTTCAAACATTTGCCCAATATATGATCTTCTTTTGATTCATCATCAAGAACAACCAAGACGTCAAATACATTTCGATCAACGAACATATTCACTGTAGGAATATATCTAGACAAACATTGTTTGAAAGGTTACAGTAATAATAGCATACAATGATTTTTGTAGTATTCACAGATCTTTTTGAAGAAAATAGTGAGTGTAAATTTTAAGGTGAAGGCTTCGTGGCTCCTCATTCTCCCCCCCATTATAGACACCTTCCTCTATTACAGACTTAAAGAGTCGAGAATAAGAGGCGTTAGGCTTTCTAGAGTTTTTTGCAAAATTGGTCAACTTATAATTTTGAAAAATAATAAATATCACTATTTGTACGTTGATTAATATATATGCTCAAAATCAAGCAAAACAGAATATACTCCCTTTTATTTGACTTTGATTTTTGACACAAGTGCTTTTTCTGAATAAATTCTTTTAGCATAGACATATGTAAAAATGTTAAGCTCTTTCAGATGCTAATTAATTAAAATTAATTAATTAGTAATTAGTGCATATCTCTCCAACCGTATGAAGAAAGAATCTAAAATTTTCGGAATAGCCTCTAGGGCTTGAACTACATCTATGGTAAAGTTTTTAGCAAGATTGTACTCCAAAAATTTTCCTCATAAAAACCGGTCCTCTACAGATCCTGTCAAGCACCGAAAAGAAAACTTTTGTCTTATTATCATCTCAAGATTCTGAGGAAGAATTCCTAATATTTTAAATTTGTTTTGAACTTTTCATTCAATTAAAAGAGCATTTTTTCATTTGTATATTCGTATTTAGTCAAGTCGCTAACAAAAAGTAAATCGACTTTTTTGGAAAATGTATGCGTACTTGAAAAAAACTTCGGGTAGGGGTTTTACGCCCCTGTGAGTTGTCTACAGAATGTACCGTTTAGTTTTCAAAAATGCTATACTAGATCGAAGTTTTTTTAAATTAAATTGCATGTAGTAGAATTTTATATCCTTTTTTTGTGTCGCGTCACTAACGCTAGCTTTGTAGTAATGACTCCTCTCAACGAAGGTCTCTGAGACTGATTTTTCAGAGCATTTAGAGTAGCACTACCTTATATACATAACATCTAAAAATTAGCTCTTTGGAAGTTCATTATCCCAAGATATACGCGCTGCAATTTTACGAAGTCACGTCGCTAACAAATGATTTTCTCAATATATTAGTGCCTAAGATCTATTATAGGTATCTTGTATGTGTAAAACAGGTTTGTTTGTCAATTAATTCAATGATTATAATAATAAGAACGTTAAATTAATAAAAACCAATAAAAAGAGAAAAATAATGAGCTAATAGCAACAATGTAAAAAAACCTAAGGAGTCCGAAGAAAAAAATTCAAGATTTCTGTTCAAAATACAGAAAATCGAGAGATCATTACTCTTATGTGCGATTGTTCAAGAAACTAACAATAATTTACGAGAGATTTGTCATTTTAGGCATTTTGTACTCGTTTAATGAGGCTAGAGAATATATGTGAGTTCCATATTTCAGCTCCAATGGAGCTGCGCTAACAAGCATTTTTAATAGAAATATCGGATTTATTTATGAAGCTTCTAAGTAAAAATTGAAGAGCTATTATCAAACATCAAGATTCGTATTTTCAGCCGTATTTCATTTTTTTTTCAAAAGGAAGACTGTAAAAGGTTCGAATTTAAACTGCTACTCGATTGTCATTTTGTTGCACTCAGTCATGCCTAGAAAGTTTGTTGAAGAAAAAAAAATACGGAAAAATTTCTTTTATTTAGCTGTGCTTATAATTCAATAATCGTAATAGTTTTTCACTTACCGTTGATTCATTCTGTAGAGATGACCGGAAAATGTACGAACAGCCAACGTAAACTTAGAAGCAACCGTAGGAAAAATATAATCATACTGACGTAATTCTCTAAACCAGAGCTTTATGATATGAACATCAGTGGCTCCAATATAACCCCGTTCATAAAGCTCAACATATAATTGTTGAGCACGTTTCACCAAACTCTTTTGATTACTGGACCATCTTGCTAAGAATTTTACAAGCTTACGGATTTTAAGATAAGAATTTTTCGTCGATTTGACCTCATTGTATTGGTTATGTTGCTGCTTAGTAACATAGGGTCCGGCAAATGCAACTTGAAGTCCGACATCCCACAGTAATCGCTGTTAACGATAGAATCCTCGCTTCAAATTTAGAACTTCGAACAGATTTTGATCCAGTGAAAGATTTCAGTGTATTTGAGGACCAAAGATGAAATAACTCACGAACTCGTTTGAAAATCGTCCAATTTTCCCGAGAAGTCGGATTTATGTAGACATGGACAACTTGATTCTAAGTCAAACTCCAGATTCAGCTCTGGCATGTAGAAAGCGGAAGAGAATCGTTTAGTTTCATTCGAGAAAAACGGAAAGAAATTTGAAATAACGATTGCCTAAAGTTTTTAACACTAGCACGACTCTTCTCTCCAAGATTGGAATATTTTATCGATATGGTATTGAAATCTTCTCTACTCTGAAGTTAGAAATAATTCGAACTCACCTGCATTGCATAACTCCGCCAAATATCCGATAGCGGAGGATCAACAGTGATTGGTAATAAGAGTGCCCACAAAGCCGACTGAAGATGGAAAGTAGCTTGTTCATTATAAGGTGAAAAAGTACGACGAGGAACGATTAATTTCACATCTTTCTTAGGGTCTTCAGAAAGCTTTTTTAACTGTACTGAAGCATCGGATGTCGTTAGGCTATTGCTTAAATCTACATCGGCATGACCATGAGCAAGAGATTGAATAACTCCAATGTTTTTAGTTGGCCAATAACCATGCAATTTTTGCGTTTCGTTGATGTATTTGTACGAATCCTTCGAGAAATAAATAAGAACATTACGGGGTATAGGATAAATAATGATACCACCCATACTTTGGCGAGAACATTCCTAAATCTTATGTTACAAATTTTATTTTCTAAGTGTGATAAAAGAAACCGTGAGAGATTATTTGCGAAACCTAATTTATCGAGCTGCAAACTAAATATAAGTGACAGGAAATTCTCACTCTAGTGAAGTGATTTTCAAGGTCAAAGATAAACTGAAAGCACACTGTTCGAAAAATCTCCAGTTAGATCTATAAATTCAATCAAGCACACTGATGATCAGAGATCTTCTGAGCGAGAACTGCAAGACTAATGGTTGAGATTCTGCCAATTAAGTGATATAGCCGTATAAGAACGGATGATCCCCAAGAAGTCAATGAGGTACATGGAGCGAATTTGCTCCTTCAGCACAAATGGCCTATTTAACATCCCATAAATACTGATTGTGAAGTAAAAACGAGTTCTCTCATATATATAACTAAATGTGGTGGTATTGAAAAGTAGTTGGTCACAAATCAACTTCTTCTAACACTTTGATATGCAGTGCCAAAAGACGAATCATGCAAATAGAAAAATCAAGTGAAAACTGATGAGATTTTGCATGGACATTGTCGGAAATACGGACGATATCATTTTTTATGCCGCAGCCGCTCATCTGCATTGGGTCTTAATGGTGAAATTCTCATCGATTTCTTTTTTCCCTTGAAGTTTTTATTGCTGCTGTTTGTCATTTTGAATAGCCCTTTTCAAATCAAGAAAAGATGCATCATTTTTGCATGCTATTATTTAAATAATGATCAACTTCTCAAATGAATCTAGAATGAGGTTACTGTGAAAGTTACTTACATTAATTGATCGTGGAGGAAATCCACGCGGCCGAATTTGCTGTGTACTCATGAGGAAAAATGGATAAGGATTAAATAGTGTATTACGATGATTTGGCACGGTTAGTGCATCCACTTGCTCATGAAATAAAAGACGAAGAGTACGTTCATTAACAATTAGTTCATTATCATGATTAAAATCCCAGATTGCTGTTGCTTTGTGAAGCATTGCCCAATAATAACTAGCATTCTTTTGTGCTGCGTAATGATGTTTAGACCAATAACGAATAACTTTGAAAAATGCAGATCTTTTTGCAAGTTCATCTTGTATTTCTGCTGTAAGATAGAATACATTTCTTCGAACTTGATCGATACGTTGTCCTTCTCCAACAACAATAACTATACACCAACTGGGAAGTCGTTTGGCTGTTTTGAGGATACTATTCGAAACGTTAACAACTACAATCCAATGAGTTGTGCAAATGGATCTTTTATTGAAGTGTGGCGAGATACGGATGAGATATTCTCGCATTTTGATGTGCTGCCTGTTGTCTTTCGTCTTGTTCGACGATTGTCGATTGAAAAACTTTATCTTTGTCCCGGAGAATGACCGTTGCT